TGTGGGATTTTCAAAACCATGTCCATAACGTAGTTAGAACAATCTTGCCGAGTAAGCTTTTGAATACTTCGATCGATTACATCAACAATGTTATGTTCCATTGAAACGTCACACAGCTCAGCTCTTGGACATAATTTTATTTTTGAAAATGCATTTTCGATTGGATTTAGCATTGGAGAATAAGGCGGTAAGAATTTAAGGTTGCATCTTTTGGATTCGATCAAATTTTTTATGTCATGTCGCTTGTGTATTTGAGCGTTATCCATTATCAAGAACGAATTTTCCAACTCTGGATTGATTTCCTCCAAAAGACTTTATATAAATAATTTAAATCTGTCTGCATTGACACTGGAATTAGAAATGATTGTGTGAATGGGGTATCCCCAATATTCATTGATCGTTGTTGGGGTATCCATTTTGTAAAGTCTTGAGCATATTTTTGTCTCAAACCTAATGTTTCCAGGTTGACTTTCTAGATATAACTCGATCAGACTTAAAACTTTCCTCCACGCTTATTTTCCTTCAACAATTTCTTTTTGTATCTTCTTATGAATGCTTTTGCTGAACTTATTTTTATGCAGGTTAAATTTGCAGTCTCGGAAATTGTTCTACCCTCTTCATACAATTTACATAATAAAAATTTCATGTCTTTTATTATTTTGTTATACTCACCCAATTTGTTTCGGGGTCTTGTAGATGTAGCTTCGGTAGGTTCTGGAGCATTGCCACTTGCAATACTTGGCGAGGTTATAGATTCTTCTTCAGGTTCCCAATAATCAGAGGTTCCCGAGCTAAAATCAGGTTAGCTCATAATTATTTAATTGTGTATGACTATAAACTCTACTAAATGAATGACTCCAGAACATTAGGCTTGAGACAAAAATATGCTCAAGACTTTACAAAATGGATACCCCAACAACGATCAATGAATATTGGGGATACCCCAATCACACAATCATTTCTAAATCCAGTGTCAATGCAGACAGATTTAAATTATTTATATAAAGTCTTTTGGAGGAAATCAATCCAGAGTTGGAAAATCGTCTTGATAATCGATAACGCTCAAATACACAAGCGACATGACATAAAAAATTTGATCGAATCCAAAAGATGCAACCTTAAATTCTTACCGCCTTATTTTCCAATGGTAAACCCAATCGAAAAAGCATTTTTAAAAATAAAATTATGTACAAGAGCTGAGCTGTGTGACTTTTCAATGGAACATAACATTGTTGATGTAATCGAGCGAAGTATTTAACAGCTTACTCGGCAAGATAATTCTAACTACGTTATGGACATTCAAGTCGGGAACCTCTTCATTAAGATAAGCAGTTACCTTGTCAAAAATGTCAAGAAATACCCAAGTTTGTATTACTATTTTTTTAGTTTTATGAAGTAAAGATATAAAATAAAATCAGACCGAATTAGAGAATATTTATGTTAATTACATAGCCATACATCTATAGTTGTTAATATTCTTAGAAGTAATTTTCAAATACTGATTTAAAATTACTGGAAATATTATATTTCCTTGGATAAGAATAAAGGTTTCATTTCAATTGGAAAAGGTTTCATTTAATTTGGAAAAGGTTTCATTTCAATTGGAAAAGGTTTCATTCAATTTGGAAAAGGTTTCATTTAATTTGGAAAAGGTTTCATTTAATTTGGAAAAGGTTTCATTTAATTTGGAAAAGGGTTCATTTAATTTGTAAAAGGTTTCATTTAATGTGGAAATGCTATAATTCATTATCACATGAGAGAGAAAAAACTCTCATGGCCAATGCCAGTCACCAACAGTGTAAAACCCCGCTAAGAGGCGAACATTCAACACTTCCTGCAATAACAGGATGTTCCACAAAATACACAAAGCACAGATACTGGGTGTTACACATAAAATTTAAAAAAAGATATCACATAACGAAAGATATAATTTAAATTGTCTGTTTGAAATATTTTAAATAATCTCACCAAACACTTCCTTGGCCCATATATTTATATAGAAATTAATAAAAAAAACAGCCTTGTTAAACTAAATGACAACAAACGTCCAAAAGGAAGCTTTACATTTTGCCTTAACTATTCCTGCAGTAACAGGATGTTCCATAAAATAAACAAAACACAAATACTGGGTGTTACACTTAAAATTAAAAATGATAATGTGTCACATGGCGACATGTATTATTTAAAATTTGTCTTAACGTATATTTTTCGTACCAACACTAATGTGTTTATGTGGTCAAATGGTTCTATATTTTAAAATGTCTGAAATCAAAAACAACAATAATTAATTTTAAATAAAGATAAAAAAGTACTTGTGGTAAAGAAAAGAATCATGCATGTTAATCAGTTGTTACGTCATCATTTAAATTGACGACACACTTATCAATGGTACAATACCAATAAAGATTAAAAAAAAACAACAACAACATACATAAATAAATATTGTGAAATTAAGATAAAAAATACAATGATGAAATTGTAATGCAACATGACACATCGTGTCAACTAACAGTGCACATTTCGTGCGTGCTGTCCACTCCACAGAGAATGACAATTAAAAAATTCCTTTGTGGTATTCAATTGTCCATAGAGGGTGGTGGTTAGTCGGTCAGTATTGGTGTAAATTCTAAATTTAATTATGAAATTAAAAAAAGGTTTTCAACTGAATAAAATAGAAAGAATGAAGGTACTTGGTCACACATCAAATTTTATTTATAAAGAAAAATTGCTTTTATTTAATTGGATTTAAATTTGTGCCATTGAATTTGTCATTATCGAATAATGGGGTGTACCAGTCTATGGGGTAATATCCCGAAACATGAACCAATATTTATTTATTGTTTGGTAGGGAGATTTCCCATCCTTTGAGAATCAGAAATATCAAATTAACGCTAATTCCGGTGAAAATTGTGACCAAATTTTCCCAAATATGAAATTATGATGAGTACCGTTATATGGGGATTATCCTGAAAAGTGGACCCTATTAATAATTTCTAGTAGGAAGATTTGTTGCCCCATGAGAATCCAAAATACTAAATTGCAGACAATTCAGTTGAAAACCTTGCCCAATGAGAATCCAAAATGCGGTATAATTGGGGTATAGTAATATGGAAGCTATTCTAAAAAGTGACTTAATATTAATAATTTTTGGTAGTAAAATTTGTTACCCAATGAGAACCCACCAAACTACCAAATTACAGACAATTCGTTTGAAAAGCGTGTCAAAAATCCTCAAAATTCCAAATATTTTGGGGGTTTTATTGTATGGGGGCTATCTTAAAAAGTGAACCAATACTGATAATTTTTAGTAGGAAGATTTGTTACCCAATGTGAACTCAAAATATTAAATAACAGACAATTCGGTTGAAAAATGTGCAAAAAAAAAAAATTTAATTCCGAATATATGGGGGTATGATTGTATGGGGGCTATTCTAAAAAGTGGACCAATATTGATAATTTTTGGTAGGAAGATTTGTTGTTCAATGATAACCCAAACTATCAAATTAAAGCTTATTCGGTTGAAAAACGTGCCAGAAATCACGAAAATACCGAATATGAGGAAAGTCCTGTTATTTGGGAGCTCCTCTAAAAAGAGGACCAATATTGAAATTTTTTTGGTAGGAAGATTTGTTACCCAATGATAATCATAATTCCGAATATTTGGGGGTATCGTTGTATGGGGGCTATAGCAAGACGTGGACCAATATTAATAATTTTTGGTAGGAAGGTTTGTTGCCCAAAATGCCAAATTACAGCCAACTCGGTTAAAAAACGTGCCAAATATTTGGGGGTATCGTTTATGGGGGCTATAGCAAAATGTTGACCAATATAAATAATTTTTGGTAGGAAGATTTGTTACCCAATAAGAATCCAAAATCCTCAATTACAGCCAAATCGGTTGAAAAAATTTTCCAAACTCTACAAAATACCGAATTTTGGGAGGTTCCCTCAATGGTGGACCAGTTTTTGATGATTTTTGGCAGGAAGATTTGCTAGAAGTGAAGTGAAAAAATATTAATAATTTTTGGCAAGCAGATTTTCAACCCAATTAGAACCCAAAATACTAAATTATACAGGCTAATTCGGTTGAAAATCGATCCACAAAACTCTCAAAAATACCGAATTTTTGGAGGTACACCCAAAAGTGGTCCAATGTCTAGGAAGATTTTCTATCCAATGACAACCCAAAATACTAAATAACAGCCAAATCGTTTGAAAACCGTACCCAAAATCTCTTAATACGGAAATTTGGAAGGTACCGTTATATGGGAGCTACCCTTAGAAGTGGAACAATATTGCTAATTTTTGGTAAGCAGATTGTCTACCCCTAGAGAACTTGAAATAAGTATTTTCAGGACTTACCTTCTAGTCTAAATCTGTCTTCTAATGAAATTCAGTTTTTTTTTTTGTTTTGAATACTTAAAATTTAGAAAGTTTTCCATTTGTTTCATTGTTTTTTTTTATTATTAAGATGTGATATTCTAATTCCAATATTATAAACTAAACTAGAACGATAGAGATAAAAATTTAAACCAAAAATAGAAATTAAAGTAGGTAATTCATAAAAATAGGGGTTTTTTGTTTGCATTAAATTTCGTTTTCAAAAAATGAGTGTGGGGGGGGGGGGGGGGGGGGGGGGGGGGTTGTTTTGTTGCCAATATTATTTATGTACAGAAATATATATTTAGTTAACCAAATGTTGGTCGTCTCTTATTGTGTAAAGCGGCAACAAAGACAAATATTTTTGGATGAAGAATTTCAATTTGAATCATCCAATTAAGTCAGGGGATTTTTTTGCTTTCTTTCAAAATTTAGGTCTTCGACGCATTCGTTTTTTCCAACGCTGTCTTTTCTTGGCCTTGGTATTGGCATTGGCTGGGGGTTGGACAATTTGTTTCTTTTTGGGTGGTGGTGGCGGTACCTCTTCCAATGTCAATACTTTTTCCGTTTCCACCAATGACGGGCCGGTGGTGGTGGTGGCGGCGTTATGGGGTTTGGCAAATCGTTGTTCATAGATTTTCTGACGATGTTCTGGCTCCAGTATGTGATTCAGTGTATTGGTCAGGCGTTCAATGCGCATTTTGAAACGCTCCCGATCCCGGGCATACATTTCCCAGTTACCTTTGCGGGCAGCACGATAGGCATAGTTCCAGGTGTGCATAACATGTACCACGGGTTTGGTATTAAAGCGTACCTGCGATGATGGAAAGAAATACAAAATAGAAACAAAAACAAAGCAATTAGTTTACAAGGTTAAAACAAATGAATAAAACAATAACAACAACAAATAAAACAATACATAAATTAGAAGTCAGGTTGAACAATTATTGTTGTATAATTGTATCACGATTTTTTTATTTATTTGAAGAGAACGACGACATTTAGGAATTTCCCCCCAACAACAAAAACTCCATTGTCATATTGGAATGGAGAGTGGAGTACGTGAAGAATTGCAAATCGCACACAATGTTGATTTTGTTGTCGTCACCACACATCATCAAGAATTTCGGGATATGCCCCCTTCCATTTGGTTGAGATAAGAATTTACTATATACATATATATACATATTACTATATGTATGTGTGTTTGTGTTCGTATGTATAGGTGTATTATTTAGAGATAAACAAACCAGTACTTAAATACTTTGTTATGATGATTATTTTTTTTTGTTATGTGAAACAGTGCACATGACTTAGCGCTATTTCTCTTAAAAAAAGTCCGTCTGCAAAAACCCCAAAAACAAATATGGTGGAAATGAAATATCTCTCACCTGATTTATCAGCGATATTTTTTTGTGTAGAGTATTGAACTTCAATTATAAATTTTGTTTTGATAATTTGAAGTTCTATTCTATGTTTGTATATTATTTAAAAAAATATACAAATAAAAAATTATAAATAAGTTTGAAATTAATTTGTAGTTTTTGTTTAAAAGTTATCAATACTGATATTCGCTTTGTGAATACTAATTTTAAATTCAATGTCGTTTGCAAATAAAATAAAAAAACGCACAAAATAAAACCGCTAAACTGAAAACTCAATAAAAACAATTTAAATACCCAAAATATATTTTCTTCGAAAAAAAATCCTTGTTTCTGGATAAAATTCTATGGCGATTTAGCCAGTCTGTTTAATTCACGATCACGAACTCCCAACATTTAAGATAGAGCTTTGAAATGTTGCATGTACATTGTTATTACATCTAGGATGTTTGGTATTGAAAATGGGATATATCAGTCGAACCTTAGGTATAGTCTTCATATAACAGTATCCCCAAATATTCGAGATTTTGAGGATTTTTGTCACGTTTTTCAAATCGAATTGGCTGTAATTGGGTATTTTGAGTTCGCATTATGTATCGAATCTTTTTACCAAAAATTATTAATATTGGTCCACTTTTTGGGGGAGATCCCATATAAACGTACATCCAAAATTTCGATATTTTCGGAGTATGGACATGTTTTTCAAATCGAATTGTCTGTAATTTGGTATTTTGGGTTGCCATTGGGTAACAAATATTTTCCTAACAAAAATTATCAAATTTTTTGGGGAGCCCCTATATAAAAATACCCCTCAATATTCGGTATTCGGCAATTTGAGGATATATTGCGTTCTCATTGGGTAGCAAATCTTCCTACGAAAAATTATCAATATTGGCCCAGTTTAGTCCCAGATAGTCCCCATATAAGGGTATTCCCAATATGTTGGTATTTTGTTGTCCTTTAGGTATGTTTTTCAAACCGATTTTTGGGTTCTCATTAGGTAAAAAAATCTTCCCACCAAAAATTATGAATATTGGTCCACATTTTTGGGGGAGCTGCCATATAAAAGTACCCCTTATTATTTGGTATTTTTGGGATTTTAAACAAGTTTTTCAACCGAATTGTCTGTAATTTGATATTTTGGGTTTTCATTGGGTAACAAATCTTCCTACGAAAAATGATCAATATTGGCCCACTTTTTTGGATAGCTCCCATATAACAGTACCTCCAAATTTTCGATATTTTCGGAGTATGGACACATTTTTTAAACAAATTTGTTGTAATTTGGTATTTTGGATTCTCATTAGGTAAGAAATCTTCCTACCAAAAATTATCAATATTGGTTCACTTTTTATGTGAGCCCCCATATAAAAGTACCCCTCAATATTCGGTATTATGAAGATTTTAAGCAAGATTTTGATCCAAATTGTCTGTAATTTAGTATTTTGGCTTTTCATTGGGTAGCAAATCTTCCTACTAAAAATTATCAAAATTGGTTCATTTTTTTAGGATAGACCCCATATAACGATACATCAAAATTCTCGATATTTTCGGAATATGGACACGTTTTTTAAACGAATTGTCTGTAATTTAGTATTTTGGGTTTTCATTAGGTAAAATATCTTCCTACGAAAAATGATCAATATTGGTTCGCTTTTTAGGGGAGGCCTCATATAACAGGGCTCCCCTCATATTCGGTATTTTGGTGATTTCCGGCACGTTTTTCAAACGAATAAGCTTAATTTGGTATTTTGGATTCTCATTGGGTAACAAATTTGCCTATCAAAAATTTTTCAAATCTGCCTATAATGTTTTGCAAACGATTTGTCTATAATTCGGTATTTTAAGTTCTCATTGAGTAACAAAAGTTCCGAACAAAAAAAGTTCAATATTGGTTCACTTTTTAGGATAGCCCACATATAACTGCGCCCCTTATATTCGGTACTTTGGTGATTTCAGGCACGTTTTCAACCGAATAAGCTGTAATTTGATATTTTGGGTAACAAATCTACCTACCAAAATTATAAGTTACCTCCAAAATTTCGATAGAATAAAAAATAAACATTTTGGACCCCTTCAAAGGTCAATGTCTTTTCCCTATTCAAACCAAAAAAAATTACAACAATTTCCATTAAAATAGTTGTTGTTATAACCTCATTATATCATGGCGGGGAACCTGACCTAACACGTGACAAACAACTAAAACAAACAAAAATAAATTAATTTTCAGGTTAAAATTCACATTAAATAGTTCACGGTGAACAAAGGCACCCACTAAGAAACAAATTATTTTAAAATGTTCTTCATGTGTGTGAAAAACATTCACGTCATATTTGACACTAAAAAAAACTATTTTTTAAAAATATCTCACTGATTACGTATTTTTGTTAAAAGTACTAACGAAATATTAACAAACAAACGAAATGTACCCCCTCCTCCTAATGACGGTGACGGTGGTGAGTGTTCCTCATGATGATTTTCCATTCATTAAAAGTATTCAAACAAATATGATGATGTTCGACAACAACAACAATAACATTTCAATTTTGGGCAAACTATATATGTACTTGTTAAAAAAAAAGTTTTAGAATAACTCATAAAGTAAATATAAAGATCTAGTTAGGGAGAGAGTGTGCGATCGAAAGAGAGTGCAAAGAATTTTTAACATCTCGTGATTTGTTTTGAATGTGGTATGGTATGTATTTCTAAAAATAAATACAAAATTTATAGAATTTTGTTTTCCATTTTTTCGCAAGATGATTTTTTTAAAATAGAAACAAAAATGTATTGTCTATTTTTTTGGAGATCGAAAGAAAAAAATTGATTGTTACCAACTCTGTTTATAGAATGAATATCATATGGTATAATAAACAACTCAACGGGCTGACTAGTTGTTGTTATGAATTATTCAAATAAGTCTTGTGATTTTTTTTTTTTTTTTTTTGAATTTTGCTTTTCAAAACTTGTTTCATTGATATTGTGCTACAATATAAACCTTTAAAAAATGTTATGTGACTGGCAAAATGATGGACAAGTGGAAGAAAAAACAAAGTCAATCCGAAAAAATAAAATATATAAACCAGATCACAAAAAATAGAGCGAGATCATAAAATTAAAAAAAGAGTTAAACAATTGAGTATATTGATAATGATATTGAATATTAGAGAATAGATAAGATAGAGATTGCAACCTGAAACAAAAAAATAGAGTTAAATAAGTAAGTATTTGTTGTGATATTGAAATATTGGAATTGCTGTTTTTGCAAATGTTAACAACATATTGAAAAGTCAATATATCTGGGTTCTAGAATGTTACGACTCTAACAAAATATCAATTGCTTTTTTTGCAATCTTATCTCGAGTAGCTGGCAGTCGTCACACTGCATTTGAACATGCACACTCACATAAAAATTTAAATTTAAAAACAAATATATGTATTGAAAAAATATGTGTTTGAATTATTAAAAAAATAATCAATGAGACCATATTCTTACAGATTACAAACTGAGATCTAGCTGAACATCATACACGTGACCTTTATTTGTATACTATATAAAAATTATGGACTTTTATTGAAATCCCGAAATCGAAAATTACAAACCCTTATGAGAACCCAAAATATCAAATTAAATCCAATTCGCCTGAAAAACGTATCGGTAATACTCAAAATATCGAATAAAAGTTATATATTGGCCTATTCCAAAACATGGGCCAATATTGATCATTTTTGGTAGAAATATTTCCTACCCAATGAGAGAACACAAAATACTAAATTACAGACAATTATCTTTACAAACATGCTAAAAATACCCAAAATACCGATTGATAGGGGGCACTGTTATATATGGGTCTATCCCAAAACAGGGACCAATATTGTTCATTTTTAGTAGGAATGTTTTTTTACCCAATCAGAACCTAAAATCCTAAATTACAAACAATTCTGCTTACAAACGTGCAAAAAACTAAAAAATACCGAATAATTGGGGGAGGCTATCGTAAAAAGTATACCAATATTGATCATTTTTGATACAAATATTTCCTACTCAATGAGGACCCAAACTACCAAATTACAGATAATTCGTTTGAAAAACATTCCCATACTCGCTAAAAAAAATTAGGAGGTTCTGTTGTATGGGGGCTATGCTAAAAAATGAACCAATATTGATAATTTTTTGTGGTGAGATTTGGTACCCAATGATAATCTATAATATAAAATTACCGTCAATTTGGTTGAAAAATTAACTCAAACTCTCTATAATATCAAAATTTTGGGAGATACCGTTATATGGGGTCCCATCCTAAAAAGTAAATCGAAATTGATAATTTTTGATAGGAAAATGTTCTACACTATGAGATTCCAAACTAATAAAATAAAACCAATTTCGAAAGATGTACCCAAAATATCGTAATATATGATATTATATGATTTCACCTGAGCTGTCAAAATGGTTTAATTTTGACTTAATCGTATGAAAACGTTAACAAACTGACAGTATGGGGGATTTTCAACCAAAATGAAGCTACTCGATTTCAAACATCAATTCCACAGCGTATAGATTTCAAACATAAATTCTATAGAGTATAGTATACGTCAAATTAATCATTTTCACAAAATAATATTTATTGAAAAATTGATTTAAAAAAATGCATTCCTTTGCAGTTTGAAAATATACTTTAAAAAAGAAATCCACACCTTATATAGGAGCTTGAAAACCTCCACCTCATAATTATCCAATTTATTAAGAAGCCTCGCATTGTGTTACATTAATTTGACGTGTGACCAACATTCTATATTATAAAAATGTCACAAAAATAAATTCTTAACTGAATCACCCTGTTGTTAAACGGCAACTTTATTTCTCCTGTCAGAAAATGAAAGCATTATTTCGTATGAAGTGGAGAAAAGGAAATGTTGAAAAGTGTGGTTTTATATTTGTCGGGATCGGGATCGGTGTTGAGAGTTTCTCTCTCTTGAGAGAGTAATTAGAGTTGCGCTATTTTTAATTTTGTAACAAGCGTACTTTTTGTTCACAAAAGGTACGAATTGACATAAACGTACCAAAACAAAAATTATATTTTTTATTATTCGTGAATACCTTTACGCTTAAATTATAACAAATATTATTTATGCAAACAACTGGTATAAATATTGACCAATATTTCTCGATAATTATGATTTATTATCATTTGAAGTATAATTTTAGGTACCTTTTCGTACTTTTTTGTTCCTACCTGTGGCAATGTTTTCCAACACAATTCACAATTTACCACTGAGAGAGAGAGAGACTCTCAACACCGATCCCGATCCCGGCAAATATAAAACCACGCAAAGAATAATTCTTTTATTTACTCTCCCACCAATCTCTCACTCATCCCTCCATACAAATAAACAAATCCAGTTTCTGTGAATGACATACTACAATGGCATTTAGCACCCCGCCAAAAATGAACTTGTCACAGCCAACGGCAAGTGAAACGAAATGGAAATGAACCAAACTCACTCACTATCTCACTCTCCCACTGAGAAGCCATATGTCAGTGTTGGGCAAAATTCAATGGAGAGGAAGTTTCTGCGAGCGTAACTGAGAATTAACCATTAAAAACGACTGACGTAAAGAGAAAGAAAGAGATAATGTGTTTACCCATCGACCCTCAGTTACGGTAGCGTATATGGCCGAGCATGCCTGCCATATGTACTCTGCTCAGCTGTTGAGAAGTGAGGAAGGAAATCAATGATTAACTGACAAACAGCCACTACCCTTCTTATTTTAGCAGTTTAAGAAAAAAAAGGAAAAATAAATATTTACCCCCATTTTTGGTTTTTTTTCAGAAAAATGAAACCCCCTAAATAATAGTAATAAAAAATGGAAAGGGGGATGACAGTAAACACAAAAATAATGACATGCTGTGGCTATTTTCAGTGTATTGAGTCATGCCACATAATGGTTATGACGTTTTCACTTTTTTTTGAAGAAGCTATAAAACTGGTTTAAGGCATTGACATTTATATCGATTATAGTAAAGATCTAGAAATTTTGGGTAATTATTTGAGAATACATACAATAGTAAATAAAAAAATGAATGCTTACCTTTTTCTTTTTATCACAAAAACTATTTGGTACTTTTTGAAATGGGCAGGTGGAGGAGGAGTATGATGGTGGTGATTTAATAAAATCAACAACATCTTCGCCGTCATCATCATCATCGTAGAGGCAATTGCAATCATCATTGCCATTTAAGTCTAAATCCTCATCATCAGTCATATCATCCTCGTCGTCTTCATCCTCCTCCTCATCATCATCTTCGTCGTCATCATCATCATCCGAGAAATTTATATTCTGTTTTAAATCGTCCACATTATCATCATAGGCAAATTCTATGAGATCGTCTTCGGCATCTTCTTCGTCTTCTACTTCATCATCATCATGTTCGCTATTTGTCATACCAAATAGACCCATGGCTATTAGATTATCACATAAATCCGAAATTTGATGATTTATGGAACCATTGATTGTGGTACACATCATATAGACGTGGGCATCACGATCATCCAAGGGAATAGCCGTGGTCGGCATTGCTGTGGGAGCGGCCATAGGGAAATATCCGGCTGTGGTGGCAAATTGTGAACCAAATGGATGGTGGTTTTGCGGTTGTTGTTGATGAGGCGGGAAGGAGGAAAACCAAGAATTATTGTGAGGCGGGAGGTGATTTGTTGTTGTTGATTTTTCCTTGTTGATATTATTGTTGTTGCTGGCCATTGATGATGGTTTCGCAGTCTTTAAGGTCTGAGATTTTGCTAAGCCTGCAAGAGGTGGTGGAGGTGACGTTGTACCTCCTGCTCCTTTACCCCCAATGTCCACAACAATGCTACAAAAGGAGGGTTTCGCATATATGATGCTATTAACAACGACTGCGGCCTCCATCGGAGGCGCTTGTACAGCCGCCGTGGCCACTTTACACAGATCAGCAGCCAGTGATGACATCGATGTCATTGCAGCAGCGGCAGCAGACTTGCCCGTATTTCTGTGATTCGGCTCAAAAGAGGGCGCCATTGCGGCTGTGTGATGATGGGCTTTCAATGCTGTCGTCGACATTTTGTTTTGTTGGCCCAGGCAGTTAAGCAGCTGTTTGGTGTGTTGTTGTTGTTGTCTGTGGTTGTTTCCAATCATATGGCACCGGAATTCAGATGCCAAGTAAGGAAGCGTTTATGAAAGGAAAATCGTTGGTGCTGCTCCTTTTGTTGTTTCAGATGTTTTTTCTTGAACAAAGAGCCTTGTCGCAAACGCAGCACTGGTTGTTGTTGTTCGCCAACAATGGATCTCAAAGATTTCTTTTTAATGGGGTTACGAACGACAAAGGCTCTGAAATTATGGTTGTCGTTGTGGTTCTTGTTGTCGTCGATATTTCTCAATGCAAATACAACGTTCTTCTCCAAATGTTGTTCTTGTTGTTGTTGCCAGGATACATAACGATTTGTTGTAGTTGTAATAATAGCGTTCTTCTTGTTGTTTTCGATTGTTGTTGTAATAAAATTCTTAGAAGTCCCACATGTTAGCAGCGGGCTGTTGACAGGATGGCAGGAATGCCCCATGATTTTCATTCCGATTTCGTTAATTTGTACATCGTATTTATTGGAAACAAATAACATTGGGTTCAAAAATCAAGCTCACGCAACGGTCGGAGGTGCCCCGTATGAAAATTCTCAAACGGAAAATTTGATGATGAAAACAACAAAGCAATGCTTGCAATTTTTTATTTTGTTCAGAGTTCTTTCTTGTTGTTGTTTCTTTTCAATGTCTTTGTTATCAACAAAAATAATAAAAACACATACACACACAATTAAAAAAGTTCAGTCAGTTCACTTCAATATGTTTTTTATTATTGTTTCGCGTTTTCAGTTTTTGTTTCTTTTTTTCCTTGTGTTTAATTATTTTTCACTTCTACTGCTGTTGTTGTTATTATTGTTCGTGGTGGTGGTTGTTCCCCTTTACCATCTGTTCCTCTCCGTGTTCCTAAAAACAAAACGACGTCGTCAGTACAACAAATAAAACACACTTTACTATGTCGTTTGCCTTTCTGTATTTTTCTGTGTGTAATGTATCTGCTGAATTATTTCAATTCACGTGTGTGTGTGATTGTGTGAAAGGTGATTTTTTTCCTATATGTGTATATTCAATTCGTTCCCAACTGGTTGGTTTGGTTCGACTTGAAATTTTGTCTAATAATACGACGACGTGATCTTTTTTTCTACTGCTTCTTCTTCTCGGTTGTCTCTACTAGTCGTCGACACCACTTCTGTTGCAAATTAATGTTGTTTCAAGGACAAATGTAAATAATATTACAGTCTCTAAATGCACTCGTTTTAATACATTTTACGCACTTTTCTTTTTGCTCGTTATTTTAACTCTTTGTAAAGTCACTTATTATGCTTGTATACGCTTTTTAAGAATTGATGATTAATACACTTCCAAATAATTGCGAGATTAATAATATTCAGCTTGTCGTTGTCACTTTTTCAATGGGAATGACTGAGAAGAGGTATTTTTCTCGTCTTTCATATAACTGGGTGCAGAGTTGTATTTCGTTCTAGAAATTCACAGCAACGAAATGGAAAGAATAAAACACAGGGTGTTTCGCAAAAAAATGCAATGAAATGCCAAGGCGGGAAATGTCAAACAAAACAATGTCGACGACATGGCATGCATGTGTCGGGGATGGAAGTTTGGTTTCTTACAAATCAAAATATTTAAATGTAATTAATTTAAAGGAAGTTTTGTAAAATGTAAATAATGAAATAATACATATATTTATATATACCTTTGGAAATAATAAAAACAGGGTGTTTCACCCAATGTAGGAAAATAAAGGCGGGAAATGCCAAAGATATATATTCCTTTGGAAATAATAAGACAGGGTGTTTCATGCAATGCAGGGAAATAAAGGCGGGAAATGTCAAACAATGGCGGCAAGATGACATACATGAGTCAGGGATGGGAGTTTATTTTCTTACACATCTTTTAAATTATTTGAATTGAATGAATCTAAGGGAAATTTTTAAAAAATATAAAATAAAGAACTACTTTTTTGTTATTTTTATGATTTGTAATAAAAATTGAAATAATAACAGGGCGTTTCAGACCATGCAGGGAAATGAAGGCGAGATGGCATTGATGAGTCAGGGATGGATAATATTTCCTTACAACGGAGCGCGAAAAATTATGTTCTCTTGTCACATTGACTGGAAATTCCATTTATTTAAAAAATACATAATGATTTATTGACCGAATTTAAAACAACAAATGTTTATATGTGAAATGAATAATTTTTTTTATAAAATATTGATTTTATTGGCAGAAAGTATGTGAGTCACCCTGTAGCATAATAACAATTTTTAAAAATCGTATTGTGTTATATTATATTGAATGAAACGATAACGGACAATGGAAGATGAATGGAAATTTAATTGTTGTCATGAAATAAAAAAATAATAAAAATATTAATTTTGGTTCTGTATTTAATTACTTGTCTTTGTGTTTACAATAGACATAGCAGTTGCGTTTATGCATTCGGAAATTGTCACACATTTAAACAATGCATATAATTTTAATGATTTTTTATAGAAAAATTCATTTTCAATTCAATGAAAAATTAATAAAATAATACAGTCTTTCTATAACCTGCAAACATGGAACAATAATAAAAAATAGGGTATTTTTTCACAACTACCGAAAAATACAACTCTGGCCTTGTGGCTTGTTATGTCAGATTAAAAAAACAAAACAAATGTAGAAAGTCCTTAATTTGATATGTGAATAGTATTTAAAAAAATAATAATAATGGAATACTGCTTTTTATTAATTTTTATTGTGTTGGTCATTTTTACAAAAAGGTTTACACTGCCCTTTTTTTATTATTTTTTTTTTTTTAATTTAACATCGTCGACATAAATAACCCCGAGTATTTCCCCAAACAATCAATTAAATATAATCTCCTAATATGTTCTTTTAGATTTCCAAAGAATTCATATATGAACCGTGATTTTTTTCTATATAGACCACATGGGAATTAACGTTCCATCCGCATACAAACTCATTCATACATACATATATAGAGAAAAAATCAGAATAAAAATCATATTGTTTATCAGTTAATATTTGCGCACATTAATACTTGATGTTGTTCTTGTTGCTGTTATTTTTTTTTTCTTCCATACTGACAAAAGGTTATCATCCTCATGGTGGAACAGAAAAAAAAACGAACGGTGTTTACGCAAGTAAAGTATTCGCTCAGATTTAATTCCATTTTTATTAAGTACATTTAAAATTAAGTACAGAAAATACGGAAAAAATCATGATATATATTAGTAGTCTATGTTATTACTAACATGACGTTTATACAAGACAATTCGCCCGAAAATACAACTCTGATTTACTTTTTTAAATATGTTTTTTTTTCAATCTTCCATTTAAGGGGTGAATTTTTTAACTACTAAAGGCGTGAATTTTTTAAAAATATTTTTTTCAAGGTCCTTTCAAAGGCGTAGATTTTTAAAAATATTTTTTCAAGGTCCTATCAAAGGATGAAAAATAGGCGTGGACTTTTTAAAAATATTTTTAAGGATGAAAAATAGGCGAGAATTTAAAAAATATTTTTCAAGGATGAAAAATAGGCATGGCTTTTAACATTTTTTTCAAGGATGAAAAATAAGCATGGTTTTTAAATTTTTTTCCAAGGGTCAAATATAGGCGAGGTCTTAAAAACATATATTTTTAAGTATTAATTTTTAAAGTAAATATTCTCAAGCTCACTTGATAGAGTAGGATTTCATAGAAATAGTTTTTCAAGCTCCTTTTAAAGGCTTGAATTTTTTAAAAATATTTTTTTAATGCCCTAATATAGGCGTAGAATTTTAAAGATATTTTTTCAAGATCCTGTCATAAAAGTGGATTTTTTCAAGGTTACAAAACCCGACAGAGCTGTGTTTTTATTTCCTCTATATTTATTTTTATCGGAAATCCTTCCTCCAATAGGTCATTAGGTCAATTCCTTAAAACGTGATTAATATTTCTCAACAATATTTCTCTTCGCATTTCCATAATAATCTACAATATTCGCTGCTTAAATTTGGGTACAACGAAAAAAGCA